CCCCGGCTCCCCTTCCCCCCTTTCTTTTTCCCCTTGCCTCCGAACCCCCCCCACACTCAAAGGCTCTTCCTCACTCCTACGATTTTATTCCCCCTTGCCCTATCCCAAAAATCCGCTTCCCTATCTTCATAAATTTTTAAAACAATTCCCTCAAAATTTTCCCCTCCATTTTCCCCAATACCTCTAACTCTCCTTTTAAAAACTCTCCTCTCCTTTTTTTAATGACAAACCCATTTGTTCTCTAGGCTTTTTTAACTTTTAAATTACCCCAAAAACTTTTTTTATTTTAAACAAAATTTGGATAACATCTCCCCACTCTTCATTTGCTCTCTTTTTACTTTGCTTCACCATCTTTAAACCTCTCTCTTTTTTCCATATACTTTTTCCCCCTTGCACACTTCTACTTTGTAAAAACTTCTCATATGCTTATATATATATAATTATTTTAAAATTTATTATATATTTTATATATATATATATAAATATATTTTTTAAATATAAAATATGTGGTTCTCAGGGCCTTTCGACTGAGCCACTGCCTTTTTCAGGAGTTCGATGGGCCGCCCTGCCAGGAAAAGATTCAGTATGTATCCCAGTGCCCCCCCCCCCCCCCCCCTGGACCCCCGGGGGGGCACTGTGTCGGGGGGAGGGATTTTGATAAAGGAACTGGACCTAATCTCTCCTTCAACGGCTTAGCGCTTTCTCTTGATTAAAAGGAAACAAAATTATAATCATTTTCCTTCGAGGGGTGCCAGTGTGGGGCTCTTGATCCAAGGAACTGGATGTCCTCCTTCTCTATGGATCGAATCTGAATGCCTCCCATTCTCCCCAGGCGCTGTATAAACCCTACGGGTGTAGCGCTCCCCATTCAGTGTAATAATTTTTAATTATTATTGTTATTATTATCATTATTATTATTATTATTATTTTTATTATTATTATTATTATTATTATAATTATTATTATTATTATTATTATATAGAGGGAGTGTCCCCCAGAAAGAGGGACATACATTTTGTAAAATACACACATATCATACATACCACCGACAAATATACATACCTCAAACAAAGTATATACTCAGGAGATATTAGCCACGGAAATACTTTTACGAGAGGATGAATCTATGGTTTAAAATTATGGTAATTTAGTAAGTTTATTCAGGTACAGCTACATCTAAATAACTGCATAAATTATCATACATATCAATACATGTATAAATTACCCAGGATAATCCAAAAAAGTCGGACAAATTGACTTATTTCCTGGGTGAGTGGTGAGTGGTGGTGTTCCAGTGTTATTCTCTCATGGTGGTCAACACTGCCTACTCAGCTACGCTCTCTAACTTTATCTGATTTTTTTTCGTCTCTTTGCTGCCTTATGTCGCTGTTTTTTGTGGTGGTGGTGAGGATGAAGGTGGGGATGAGGTGTGGCAACTGGAAAGTAAGTACTAATAGCTGATTAGTTATTTATTGGGTTTAATTAGTTCAGCGGGTTAGTTTGGTTGGTGTTGGGTTAGGTTAGATTATGTTGTGTTATGTTGTGTTATGTTGTGTTGTGTTGGTTATGCCCTGTGTTATGTTGTGTGTTTTGTTCTGTGTTATGTTGTGTTATGTTGTGTTATGTTCTGTGTTATGTTGTGTGTTATTTTCTGTGTTATTTTGGGTTATGTTGTGTTATGTTCTGTGTTTTGTTGTGTGTTATGTTCTGTGTTATGTTCTGTTGTGTTTTTGTTTATGTTCTGTGTTATGTTCTGTGTTATGTTGTGTGTTTTTGTTCTGTGTTATGTTCTGTTGTGTTGTGTTATGTCCTGTGTTATGTTGTGTGTTATGTTCTGTGTTATGTTGTGTGTTATGTTCTGTGTTATGTTGTGTTATGTTGTGTTATGTTCTGTGTTATGTTGTGTGTTATGTTCTGTGTTATGTTCTGTTGTGTTGTGTTATGTTGTGTTATGTTCTGTGTTTTTGTTGTGTGTTATGTTCTGTGTTATGTTCTGTTGTGTTGTGTTATGTCCTGTGTTTTTGTTGTGTGTTATGTTCTGTGTTATGTTCTGTTGTGTTGTGTTATGTTCTGTGTTATGTTGGTGTTATGTTCTGTGTTATGTTGTGTTATTGTTGTGTTGTGTTATGTCCTGTGTTATGTTGTGTTGTGTTATGTCCTGTGTTATGTTGTGTTTGTTCTGTGTTATGTTCTGTTGTGTTGTGTTATGTTCTGTGTTATGTTGTGTTATGTTGTGTTGTGTTATGTCCTGTGTTATGTTGTGTGTTATGTTCTGTGTTATGTTCTGTTGTGTTGTGTTATGTTCTGTGTTATGTTGTGTGTTATGTTCTGTGTTATGTTGTGTTATGTTGTGTTATGTTTTGTGTTATGTTCTGTTGTGTTGTGTTATGTCCTGTGTTATGTTGTGTGTTATGTTCTGTTTGTAGATGGATGGTTCTGAGAACCGACATGTTGATAAATTAGACACATGTGCAACTCTTGGGTATCTTTATTGAGGAAA